AGAGCCTGGTCCGGTGAGAACCCGGCGTGCTCCGTCCCGGCTTTGTAGGGATGCGAGGTCAATGGTCTAACGACTACGGCATGAACGACTATGAGTACTCCCATATATTCCCCCCGGTATTTGCCATCGGGTTTGGGTTTTCGTCGCTTGGCAACGACGTTTAACAAGCCAACGTGAACTCGGCAACCAGGTCACCGTTTTTTTTTTTACCTCTTGTTATTTTTTTGGCGGTAACCATAATGGTGGTCGACTAATTCATGTTATGCGGGGTCGAGAATCCTCACTCCGCGCAAGGGGGATGATCGCACCAAGTTGTGTGAAAATGGTCAAGCGACCTCGAGGCAGTTACACAGTGCTTACAACTGTCTCAGGAAGTGAAAGCACCAGAAAATAAATTTTGTCATACGCAGCTGTCATCCGTACGCAATGAAGTAAGCACAAGATGCCAAACAGCGTTAGCAGGATGCAGCGCACCCTTCATGCGACTCGCCGAATATCTCACGGCGCTTCGCGCTTGGTGATGTGAGAGCCTGGTCCGGTGAGAACCCGGCGTGCTCCGTCCCGGCTTCGTAGGGATGCGAGGTCAATGGTCTAATGACTACGGCATGCACGACTATGAGTACACCCCTATATATAATTATAGTCTAGTCTTGATGGGGTGCATACGCTGGCACGCTGGATGACGTTTGTTAGCGCGGCCGATGCAAATTCAACAAACCCACCTGCGTGCTGTAGTTGGTTTCGACCCACTGGTTGTACACCCTCATCAGGGTCCCGTGATCGCCGCCCCCTCCCCGGGCGAAGTTGAGCCTGGCGTTGTCGGCGTGGACGGCATGGTCCTTGGGCCTGTAGAACACCGAGTTGCCGCACGAGAGCATGGCGCAGATGCTCAACACCTAAGGAGCGAGTCGCGGGGACGGGGCGCGCACGCAGCGGTTACAACGAGGCTGTTCCGGTGAAAAGCACACCCTAGAAGGACAACATCGAAACGATGAGCATAGTTAATGACAGTGGAACACGCGCACATTCGAGGACCACCGCCATGATAAACAAACAAACGGGGGTTTCCACAGGGCAGTCCGGATTGAACATGGCACAGGGCCGAGGTCAAAGGCATGTCAGGAGAAGTGAACTTATAACATCTTGCAGGGCGGTTCAAGCCAGGTCACGTTGATTGGAAATGTGACTTTTTCAGGTGGTAGGTGACTTCCGCTGGCTTTTGATCGACCCGCTCCACCCTTGACTTGCCGTATATCGGCTGACCGTTCGACACAAGTTTTAGTTTTCGCTGCGTCATGTCAAGACAACAGTATCGCATTTATCGTCTTCGCATACGCGTGTACGCACGCACGTGTGCTCCTAGGCAGCCTGGTGAGGCTTTCCTCCTGCCATCGTCGTTGGAAACTCTTTTCTTGGATCGCAAATTCCCTCTCTTCCCGAAGTCTTCCGGGGCACGTTCTGCTCAAGTCACAGCCAATGCTACGTACTGTTACCACTTTTATCGATGTCACTGGTATTGTTATCGCTGCCGCCGCTGCTGCTGCTGCTGCTACGGACGGTGCAGCTCCCGCTGCTGCTGGCTTTGCCACCGAGAACGTCGCCACCGCCAATACCAATACCCACCTTCGCTTCATGCCACTGCAGCTGCTACCTCTACCATCGCAATACCCACCTCTTCCACACAGCCGTACTTCTCCGCAGCGATGACGGTCTTGCTCAGCATCGGGTCTAGCGGGAACTCCGCCATACGCCTCCCCAACTTCGTCAGCTCCCCTCGGTCGTTCAGCGCGCCAAGTGCATAGAGCTGAGGGGCGAAACAGCACAGCGGCCAAACATCGTGAGCGTAGCGTAAGACAGCACGGCACACAACTAACTGTTGGGGCAATAAGCAAACGAGAAGAGAGGCACCCAACAAAGACTATCCTTGCCGTTGTCGCAGTATACGCATGTGCAATGTGGATCCCCGAATATGCCTGTGGTAGGTCAGCCGACGACGACCGCCTTACATGGGGCAGCCGCCTTGTTCAACGTGTGTTGGGTATTCCGCTTATGTCAGCCAATTTCGCCCGCCGTAGATAGGGCCACCGCTTCTCCAGACTGCCTTCTTCGAACTCCGATTCTCGAAGACCACGTTGACGAGGCAGGTGGCAGGTTCGGGATAAACACGAGCCAGCGCCTACTTATTCTGTCGTTACATACATTTGTCAACGAGGCAAAAAAAAACAAGCAAAAACCGCACCTACTCAACAACTATTAACAATAAATGTAACAAAAAAGGCGCAGAACTACTCCAAAACCGCTGCAAGCTGCCAAGGGGCAGAAACGGGCGCACCTGCTCTAGGGCGCGGATCAGCGTCTCCGGCGGCGGGGGGTCCATGAACTCGAAGTGCAGCAGGTCGTTGATCCCCAGGCTCTTGAGCAGGAGCACCACGTTGCCCATGTTGGTCCGCTGGATCTCTGGCACGGTGTTGTCCTCGAGCTCGTGCTGGAAAGACCAGGCCGTGAAAAGCCGGAAGCACTTTCCCGGCTGGGTCCGCCCTGCTCTCCCCGATCTTTCACAAGAGAGGCGGGACCATTGGCGGGACGGGGATGGAGTTCGAGGTCTTTTGGTCTCATGTGAACGAAAAAAAAATGTCATTGGTACATGTAAGCAAAAAAACTAAACAAACGACGCCAGGAGTAGTGGCGAGTGTAGGACTAAGCTGTTCGCAGCAGTGGTAGGACTACTCAAGCAACATTGATTTCCATCTCTTCCTGGGTCAAAGTACCACATTCCAGACGGCAAATCAGAGCCCGAAATTGAACGGCGACCCTCAGGTCGCGACAAAGACTTGTGACGAAGGGCGGGTAGCATGTGTTGCAAGGTACGGCAAAGCTACACTTCACCACGCGTCACCCACTCTCCTTCCGACCGGCTGCATAGAGAGAAAGCGGCTACCATCGCCTAAGTCTGTTTGAGAGGGAGGAGTTTGTGAAGGAATGACCACGAGGGATGCTTGTTGGGAGCCTTTTCCTCGCCGCTGCTCTTGCGCAACAAGAAAAGGAATAACCGCGCACTTCTGCTTTTGGAAAATGTCCATGGGGGCAGCCGTGCAAAACCAAGGACCAAGACTATTGCCCTCCCGAATACCTCCACTGCAAAAAATCAAAAGAAATCTACATTTACAACAGACAAAAGCCATACGCACATCCAAATTCGAAAAAAAAAGAGCATGACCCGCTGCACCTTTGTCTGGAAGCGGCCTTGCTGATGGGCGTGACGATGAGGCTCTCCATGCCCGAGCGGGGGTTGTAGCTTTTCTGCTTGCAAAACCCCGTGTCGACGACGAAGCAGATGCCGTCGATAGTCAGCGACGTCTCGGCGATGTTGGTGCCCAGGACCACCTTTCTCGCGGGCAAGGACAGCATAGGAGACAGAATAAGGGGCGTGGGTACTAACAACAACCAACAGCAGCAGTAGCAGCAGCAACAGAAAATGGAGAAAGAAACGAGAGTGCCGACAAACAGGACAAAGGAAAACACTGATGCTCCAACTTTTGTAAGACCTGATACTACCGCTGTACGCCTCGTGAGTATCAAACCCCCCTCGGTAGGGGTGTGGGCCACCTGGGGACGTGAAGGCGCCCAGTCTTTAACTTGCTCAGCATACCCCCCTCCCCCCTCTACACCTTGCGGGTCCCCGACGGGGGGGGGGGGG